GCACTTTAAGTACACAACACTCGCACATTAAGCACACAAACAAAACACCTTCAGAACATAAACACACGCACCTTAAGCACAAAACTCACGCATCTTAAGCACAACCCTCATGCACCTTAAGCACAAAACTCACGCACCTTAAAGCACAAAACACATGCACCTTAAGTTTCAACAACTACTCACATTAAACACAAACTCACGCACCTTAAGCACAAGACTCACGCATCTTAAACACAAGACTCACGCATCTTAAGTACAAAACTCACGCACCTGAGATAATAATTACAGAGAACTACATATCTATTGCTGCTAGATAATATCTTATTACGGGTGCCTTCCAACTAGGGGTGACCACGGTTCGGTTCGAATCGTAACCGTGCACTGTACAACCGAAATTGAAACTGAACCGTCCGTAGGGTTCTGATTTCGGTTAAGGTTTTGGTAATTAAGAAACCGGAACCGCCAGTTTCGATTTGAAACCGTGAAATTCTAAAAAAAAAAAAAAATCAAAAACTTGCCAAACTGCCAAAGTTTGGCTATTTTTTTTTTTTTAAAAAGGCCATTAGGCCACTAGTCCAGTGGCCTACTGGCCACTTTCGCCAGTTGGCCTGGCGCAAAGGCCAAGCCTTGGCCTTTGGGTCAGGCTTTGCTGGCGTGTAACACCACCATACATTAATTTTATTAAAAAAAATAAAAAAGAAATCACGGTTAGAACTGACGGTTCTAACCGGAATCACCAGTTCAAGAATGATAGGAATATTTTTGTAAGTTTTGATGAGCCAAATGTACTTTAGATCCCCTGTGTTTTTAGGTCTTTTAGTACAAGCATCATAAATCAGAATATCGAGTCAAAAGGAATCTACCATAGGAAGAACAAAATTAATTTGAGAAATTAATTTTGGTCCTACGAGTATTCATCCGAGAAAGAAGCATAAAGGAATGGCGTTGCAAAGAATGACCGGATGAGCCTAACGGCGAAATGGTAGAAGTCCTTATTCAAAACGATCACACTCGAGATTGATTCCTCCCAAGGACTTATTTTTTACAAGTCAAACTTTCGGACAAGCACAATGTGCCAAGGAGCACAATGTTACCGAAGGAGCACAATGCTACCAAAAGAGCACAATGTATTAAAAAGAGCACAATGCTACCAAAAGAGCACGATGCGGACGAGCATAATGTGTGCTAAGGAGCACAATGCTCAAAAGAAGCACAATGTATCAAAAGGAGCACGATGTGTCCAAAGAAGCACAATGTGACCAAATCAGAAAAGCACAATGTTCAAAGTCAAGAAGCACGATGTTCAAGTCAAAGGAGCACAATGTGGCAAAGAAGCAAGATGATCAGAAATTGGATTAATTCGAAGGAATTTATTCCAAGTCTACCCACATGCCACAAGAATCCAAAATTGCCTGAAAGACATTTGATCAGAACGGTAAAATATTTATGAAGACATGAATATAAAAACTTATCCTAGAAATAAATTCTATGGATGAATTTATTTCAAAGATACGTTGGATATTCAATATGACAAGAAAAATAATATTTTAAGAAACAACTAGAAAATCAAGTTGTGATAAAATATTATTTGTCAGGCAAGTTGACAATCAAATCAAATTGAAGACCTACTATTGTCAACAATATCAGGCTATGAAGATTCAAAATTCAAATATCAAATTGTCCCACTCCAACGGATATATTTGATTGCTTATAAAAAGCCATGAAGACTTGAAGACAAGTAGCGTGCGGAGCAGAGGTGAACAAGATAGACACAAGATAGAAGTGCAATACACACGAAAATTCAAAAAGTGCAAGTGCTCAAATATTCTTAGAGACTTAGTCTGAATAGTCTCAAATCTAGTTGGAGAGAGAGATACAATTACCTTTGTATTTGTAATTGTAAAAGGAGTATAGCTGTGTGCAAAATACTCTAGTGAGTGTAGCTGTGTGCAAAACACTCGTAGTTGCTAAGTGTAGCTGTGTGCAAGACACTTAGTTGGCGTTGAGTATAGCTGTGTGCGAAATACTCGGAGTTGAGTATAGCTGTGTGCGAAATACTCGGAGTTGAGTGTAGCTGTGTGCGAGACACTCGGAGTTGGGTGTAGCTGTGTGCAAAACATCCGGAAGAAGTGCTTGTGTAGCGCTTATTCACTATTGTAACTGTGTGTGGAAAAATAGTGAATTTCTCCTAGACGCGAAAGGAGAAAAGTGGACTAGGAAGATTACGCCACTTCCGAACCACTATAAATTGCCTCTCTCATTTACATACCGCACTTACATAATTTGCTCTATCTATCTATCTTATCCGACTAACCCGTTTACTATTCACAATCAATCTTAATCGTTCGGATTTAATGTGCTTTCACGTATGCATGTGACTCAAACTTCTCGAGCTTAAATAGTGATTTATTCTAAGCAAGTTTGACGTGTTGCATGTATCATTCGTTACACGGTCGACGTGATACGATATTTATTTACAATCTTGAATATTGTTATTATATATTGAGTGAACCATCTCCTTTATATATTCAAGATACCTCTGTCACTTTATTTATCTTACATGCGTATTTAATTCATTGATTGGGCATAACTCTTTACATACTACCTATTCCGTTGTGCAGTTTAAACTTACTCTATTTACTTGTTACTTAGAGTTGAAGTTACCAAAGAGTTATTTATTTCGAAAAAGCTTGAAAGTCTATTCACCCCCCCCCCCCTCTAGACTTTCATCACCCTATCGGGACCAACAAAGAACCAGAATCGGAACCTTATATTAAGGTTCCGATTTTGATTCGATCATTTTTAGAACCGGAATCGACGATTTTGAACTGAAACCGGAACCGTGATCATACCTACTTCCAACTGCATGAAGTAAACCTCCAGCAACATCTCCAGATCTTCCACACCATCACTTAAATAGTTGCTAACAAAGCTTCCACTTCTGATGGAACTAAGCCTTCAAAGATTAGGCACGATTGGGATAATTGCATTTGAGCCCGTAGTTCCCAATAATAGAGCTTCAGGATGTTGATTCTGACTCCATTTCTTAGCAATTGGGCCATGTCTTTGTTATCATCTAAAAGACAACTCATGCAACTTAAGTTTCACACAACTACTCACATTGAGTATACACCCACGCACCTTAAGTACAAAACTCACGCACCTTAAACACATGTTTCACGCATCTTAAGTACAAAACTAGGGGTGGGCATTTCGGGTTTCGGTTTCGGTTTTTTATTTTAAAAAAGTTAAACCATTCGGTTTAACATTAGGGTTCGGTTTGGTTTCGGTTCGATTTGAAACAGTTCGGTTCGGTTTGAAACGATTCGCTCGGTTCGGTGTTCGGTTCGATTTAAGATCCCCAAATTTCAACATTTCCTAATTTTTCGAACATACTACCAAACAATACATATTCACGTAATCCAAATTCAAACTCTAAATATTATATAACAAAATAACAATCCAAAGTTCAAACACAATACTAAGTACTAATTACCAAACATCAGTTAACGTTTTTGCAAAACCGACTCTTCAGTTGGTTCAGTTGGAATATTTTTATTGATAAGATGAATAATCATCTATCTGTATAGTTGATATTAAAAGAACAAGTGTCAATTACTATATTGTTAATTTTTGGACACAATGAGTCATTGCTAGTGCACTCGAAATATATTCCAGTACTAGAAAATAATTATAGTGCACTGAAAATCAAAATTAGAATGACTGTAAAGCACATTAAATTTATAGAAAAACATGAAAGTAAGGAAAATACTGAATATTGTAAATATAACTCAAGTTAGATATAATTGTGAGGTAAAGAACAATTGCGATAAACAATAAAAGTGCAATGTAGAAAACAAGCTATAAATAAATCAAATAAAAAAATTTAAGGTTCGGTACCAGTAAGAATGAGAACTGAACGGCCGCAAATTATGCCCTGGAAACGTATTCACCATGAATGGTGAACACGGGTCCAAACGGCGCTGTTTTTACGGAAAAAAATTAGCTAATGTGGTGTTAACGGCGCGCGTTTGGTTAGATTATGAATTTTATGTTATGAGATTATGAATGTATTGTAAATTCATAATCTCATAACAGAAAATTCATAATCTCATAACTGCACATTCATAAATCCATGCAATTATGAATGTGCAGGCATGGATTTATGAATGTGCAGTTATGAAATTATGAATTTTATTTTTATGAGGTTATGTTGAAGAAGCTTGCACGAAGAGGAAGTGAAACCACAAAATGTGAAAATGAAGAAGAAAAGTCGCGCGATTAATTAAGGAAAAAAAAAAAAAACGGTGCACTGTTACCTTTGGGACCGTGTTCACCATGGATGGTGAACACGGTTCCATGGCATAACGATTGCTGAACGGCGGAGCAAGCATCAAGGAACTTGGATTTACTTCTTTCATTATTATTATTATTATTATTATTATTATTATTATTATTATTATTATTATTATTTATTAAAAAATTATATAGCATTCGATTCTGTTCGGTTTTTGCCAAACCGTTTGGTTTCGGTTCAGTTTGGTACTAAACCGTTTGGATTACAAAATCCCGAACCGTTCGAGTTTCTATTACTAGTTCAATTCGGTTCGGCTCGGATAAACCGAACTGAAGTGTCCACCCCTATACAAAACTCACACACACTACTCACCGCACAACCGCACGGGAACTTAATTAATTAATTATATATATATATATATATATATATATATATATATATATATATATATATATATATATATATATATATATATATATATCATTAAACTCTAATTGAAATATTTTAAATAATTCAACTCGCCAAGACCTTGTGGTTCAATGACACCAAGTTTATTCCCTTAAGTAGGAGGTTGTGGAGTTTATATATAAATGAATTAATTTATTGGATCTTTTAAAAAGTTACAATTTCATTAAAATGGAAGCAATATATACCAAGATCCCACAATAATATATTTATCTTGACAAGTCATGTACAAATTTTATGGGCGAATGCAAAAATGCAAAATTCAACTAAAACAGACAATAAAACCCTAAATCCCTATTCCTAATTCCTAATTCCTAAATGTAGCGACCAGCATTCCAGATTCCAGAATCCAGCAGAACACTCCCTCCCTCCCCTGCGAATCTGCGAATTTGGGTAAGTCTTCTTCTTCGTTGAAATCTATGGAACGCTCCCTCCCTCCCTCATTCCATCGTCGATTTTCTTTCTCTGTACGGCGTACGCAGAACTGCAGAAGAGTAGCCATTTTCTTTCTCCGTTTTTTCCCAGTCCTTAAGTTTCCTTTTTTAAATTTATCTTTTAATTTACTGCTAAGTGATGTGGCGTAGTGTAGGAATGTTGAAGTTGCATCTTTCAATAATTTGAGTTTGGGTGCAATGACAGACTGTATTAGCTAGTAGTTGGATCTAAGTGTTCTCTGCTTTATAAATTATATTTTGCAGATTAAATTAGTGGTTATAGGTCTACAAAATTTGAATGCCAAAAATAGGTTTGTTTTGAATTCATATTATAGAACTATGTTCTAATTTCTTCGTTTTCCAATATTTGTTTGTCACAGTTATATGAATTATGGCAGAAAAAGACAGAATTAGTGAACTCCCGGCTGATATACTTGCCAATATTTTGGGATTTTTGCCGATTCAAGAAGCTGCTAGAACATCAATTTTATCTTCCTTTTGGAAAGATATCTGATTTAGTCTGACAAAGCTTAACTTTGACCCTCATTTCTTTGATTACATATGTCTTAAATATTCCGATGATGATGAAGCTGGGAAGTCGGAATCTCCTATTTTTGAAGTAATCAACAAAATTCTCATTCAGCACAATAGACCTATTCAGAAAATTATCTTCTGCTTTTGCGGAGATGTATCTGTATCCCATTTCCTTGAAGACTTTGATTATGAGTATATAGCTAATTTGATGTCGGACAACTTGAATTAGTGGTTTCTTCTTCTCACCCAGAATGGTGTTGAAGAAATTGACATTTCTTGTAGTATAGATATAGAAACAAGATGGAGGGTGCCGAATTGCATATTTTCTTGCCCAACGCTGAAGAGATTGAAACTTTTTAATGTCTCTGTTGAACTAATGAATGCGTCTTTTGTACTTCTGAGTGTTACATCACTTTGTCTTGACCATGTTAACTTTAAGCCTAGAAATTTTTTGGATTATGTTGTTTATTTTCCTATGCTTGAGGATCTCTCATTTGTCGAATGCAATAACATATTTGATTTTAACATTGTTGCACCAAAACTTGGTAGTTTGAATATCATCCCGCGCAAGTTTTTATGTTATTGTTACAAAGGATTTGGTGTTCTGCAACCTAACTTGGACTTGAGATCTATATCAGGTCTTAATTTGGATTGTTCCACTTGTTGCTTTGAGGTAAATTGGCCTAACTATTTTTTTGTTTAATTCTGTTTTTATAAAATGTTTTTTAGGAACTGATCTAATTGTCTTTCTCTTGATTTCCAAGATGTTTATTGAAAAACTTACTAGAGTGGGAAATGCACCTGCACTAAACATTGAACTCCTCAAGCTACATATATCAAGTTATAGCTTTCCGCCAAAAAATATAAATAATTCTGCATTCATACATCTGCTGCAAGCATGCCCAAAATTATGCGAACTTGATATGTGGGGTCTACAGGTAATCTTCATTTTTATATGTATGGATATGTTCCATAAAATTCTGGTGATTCCATTATTGTTGCATTTCTTAATGCAAAATTGTTATGTATTATGAACTAATTGCTTATTTATGTTTATGTTCTGTTATTAGTATTTGAAGATAAATCCAGAGGATTTTGTGCTTATGGAGGAACTCAGCAGTGTGGCTCGAACATTGAAAATGCTTCGCACTTTGAAGTCTAGCCATTTTAATGGGTGGAGGCCTGAAATGCAGTCTATTAAAGTGTTACTTGCTTGCTTTCTAGGAATTAAGAAGGTTGTCATTGTTCGAGGTTGGATTCGCTCTGATGAAGAATTTAAAATTATGCAGGAACTTTTACGTTTCCCTCGTGCCTCAAAAGCAGAATTTTTTTACATAAAGTAATCTTAATTTTATTCCGTTTCCTTAGTACGTAAGTTCTATATTGTGTAATGGTTTGTGAGATTGCTTATTAGGCTTGAATGTACTATCACAACTTTTAACTTTAGGTTTGAATGTATGTAGTTGGCTTTAAGGTGAATTAATTGTTTGTTTCCAGTATTATATTATGTGTAGAGTGAAATACTGAATTAAGGGACAAAACACCTTATATTTTTTATAAGAGTTAATTCCATTTTTGGTCCTAGACTTATTGGGGTGTGGACAGTTTTCATCCTCCATAATAAAATTTGTCAATTTGTGGCCACGTTTATTGGTCGATGGACACTTTTGGTCCTCCGTCACTTGTGTCGTTTGTTGACCGTGAAAATGAAGGGCATTTCTGTCTTTTTATGTCTTCTTCTTCTGATAGTCAACTGTCTTTATCTGTTGACCGAGGAGAGTCAGCTAGCTACATCTCTCATCTCCATTTCTACAAACACCTTGCGAGCGTGAAGACGTCAGTAACATTCAGACGTATCACGCGACGACTTCAATTGGCTGGTCGCTCTGGGTGAGGCCGCGGATGAAGGCGTTCCAGTCATTGGTGCAGACTAAGGGGATGCGCCGGAAGATGAAGGCATCGTATTGGAAGCTACTGTCGGAAAACATGTTTGTTCACAGCTGCAACCGTCATAGCTGCCATCGACTGCCACCGCCGTGTTGAAGTCTCTGATCTCAAAAAGTCTCGGTCTCACCACCTCCGCCGCCACCAAAAGATCAGTTACTGTCAAGAGCCAGAGCACCCCAACTGGTAAGCTTTCAGTTATCGAGCCAGAGCTTATAACCCTCCACCGACGGTATCTCCCTCGCGAATCTTCCAACAGAGTCAACATCTCCTCTGTCTCCACCAAATTTGCCCATTCCGATAGATTGTTTTTGTGTCTATAAATCAGAGTATCTGATTTTTTCTTTTTTTGTTCACTTTTCCAGATTCGAGAAGGGCTCTTGAGAGAGTGAGGTGTGGAAGGATTTGTGGTTGAAGATAATTTATGTCGGCAAGGTCAGGTCTGGATTGGGTTATGCATTTGGGGCTTTTTTGTTGAAGCTCTGGCTTGTTGTTTCTGTGATGGATTTGTGTGAATTTTGCAGGACTTATTCAAGCTTTATTCAAGCTCGAGCTCGTGTGCGCCGGCACCTGCGGGCACGAATGTTGTCCGGAAATTGGCTGGCCTTTCGGGCTAAGTTATGCCAAACTTCGGAATAAATTTTCCAACACAAGCCACTGGGTGTGGCCGAAACCTGGGAGGTTTCGGCCTAACTACCAAAGTTTCGGCCACTTGGGCGCCGAAACTTCCAGTTTCGGCCTACGCTGAACCTGTGCAGTTTTGTGACCGTTGGTTGTTCAATTCTACTATTACGGAATTAATTCTTTGAGTTAATTCCAATTTTTAATTTTGAATTGAAGGCCATGTTAATGGTGCTGTTACAGGAAGGTGGAAGGGGTGCCCTTAAGTGCCTAATTAAAAGCTATTAAATCCTTCACCCCTATATAAAGAGGAGTTGGGCAGTAGAGTTTTACACACAGAATTACACAACACGAAAGTATATTTTTCCAGCTTCAAAAATCTCTGCTTCTACTCCTTCTTAGCCATACTGTGTTCATAGCCTGTCTTGCTCGCCGGATTCCTTGTTTGAGTGCTCAAACATTGAATCACTAGCAAGTTTTATCCTGGAAAACCTAGGCCACAACGCTCCTAGCATCTTTGGGAGGTGGCAAATAAGGTTTTAAGGAAAGAATGCTCACTTGACTCTTGCAAAAACCCAACACCAAACACTAGCCAAATTTCTTCATCTTTTCTTCCCTTCTTTCAGAAAATAATAGTCATTTTTATTTGATTATTATTTGTTTTCTACCAACGGTTCCTATAGTTTAGTTGATTGATTTGATTTACATGCGATCATTGTTAATTGTGCTTCCGCCTTCAGGTTATAGCGTATAAAGGATTATTTAACATTGAGAAGAAAGAAAGAAAGCTTGGGAGATTTGGGAGAATCACTTGGTCTAATCTTTTACTCTCTTTGATTGCTTGTAAAGTCTTTATTTTATTGCAATGAATTCTAGTTTATTTAGCCATGTTTGGCTAAGTTTTCTTAGAGATTTTTGTGTAAAATGTATTTATGAATCTATGTGCCTATTTCTCAGATTGTTTAATATATTGATATTTGGATTTTATACTTGTGTTGCAATTGTGTTTTATATTGTTGTTGCTAGTAATTTAGGGCGTGAGTTGCTTGTTTCTTAGCTATCTTTATGTCTTAACGGGAGTTAAATTATAATGTTTCTTAGCTATCTTTATGTCTTTTATTAGCTATCTCCACTGATCAGTGGAGACAGAAATGATTTGGACCAAATATTATCTACTTGAGGATATAATGTTTCTTAGCTATTTTTTAATGCTTTCATGTGCAGCATCAGTGGAGACAGAAATGATTTGGACCTGTTCAAGAAATCAAATTAATAATAAATTAAATATAAAAAAGTGGTTGGCGTTATTTGGGAGAAATTAATAATATATATACTTCCATGTGCACCATGCATCCAGCTTGGTATTATAGATGAGATGAGGGAGAAATTATGATTTTTTAAAATTAAGTAAGCAGATCGGACCATCTCTTACTGCACATGCACCTTCATCTTTAGGTATTTAATTTTTTTTTTTTGAAACAATTATGATAACATCTGCGGGATGCCTTTTACCAAGCATCAACTTTGTTCTCAATGATTCACTGAACATGAGATCGTCAATTTCGGTCTGATCTAGATCTGATGAAATAATATGGTGCAACTAAGCTTAATCTTACTTTGACTTTACATGAGTTCTATGAAAAACAAAATATACATGAAAGATTTGGGGATTCTAAACTTTTTAACTTTACAAGAATTAACATTATCAAAATCTAATCAATATTATTCGTAACAAAGAGTTAATACTCCAAAATTTTAAAATGTAATACTTATATTGAAAAGTGTAATACTATAACATATTTGTCATGGTCAATCCTTCAAATCTTACATGAAAATATAATATTTATACGTCATCAACTCACCATCCCACCTTTCTCCTTTTCTCACGGTTCACCCTTAAAACCTTAAACACATTCTATAACAAATTAAATAAAATACATTCTACAACGGTGAATGTGCCTAATATATGGTTTGTGCAGGCAACCTGCTTTATCGAAAGACTCTGCAGGCAGCTCGGAGTATAGCACTGGATCAACTTTACTAGCCCATGGGGTTGGTGCGTGATAATAGAGAAAAGAGCGAAGCCGAGCTATGTGAATTGCATCAGGATATTGAATCGGGATTAAAATCAATCCACATTGATGATGAATTTGCAAAAGGAATTTCTGGCAATAATGCCTTGACTTCTCAAGGTGTGAAAGGCTTCTACTTTATGCAAGGCATTTTTAATCGGATTAATAGCCACTTCCAACTTATAAAACTTGATTGTTTCCGGTCGATATGTTTCCAGCTTGTGACAAAGTTAGGGTTCGTTTGGAAAACAGGAAAATGACTTCTGGAAAATAAGTCATTTTTCAAAAAACATTTTTCTTTTCGGTGTTTGGATGCATTTTGGAAAACTGTCTCTGTGTGTTTGGTTCATTTTTTAGAAAATGAGTAGAATTGTATAATTACACATTTTAATTATTTTATTTAGAATATAGCAACATGTATAATAATACTAGTCTTTTCTATGCGCAATGTGCAAAAACATATGCACCCTATATTTATATTTAAAAAAATAATAACTAACAAATTTTTACTAATTAAAATCTAAGTGAAATAAAAGTTATTTATTATATTAATCCAATATATAATGAATATATAATATTTTACAAATATTGTTATAATTAAAGAATATAAGAAAAGATATGGTAGATGCATGTGCATGGTAAACGTAATGGAAAAGATAACAGAAGTTATAACGGTAAGGATATTTTTGTCCAAAAAATTATATAGTACAACTCTAAAAGCACAATGTACAAAATGGTTAGCATTAAAAACATGGACATAAATGATGGATATAACTTTGATTGAGACTTATTATGTTTTTATTTAGATTATTAGATATAATAATATAAATAACAATTTTAATTTTAATAAAAGATAACTAATAAGATATCAAAATAACTTGCCAAAGTCTTGTAATTCAAAACAACAACAACAACAACAACAACAACAATAATAATAATAATAATAATCATCATAATAATAAAAATAAAAGTGGTATAATATAGTAGTGGTGGTGGTGGTGTAGTGGTAGTGGTAGTGGTGTTATTTTGTATAATAATAATAATAATAATAATAATAATAATAATAATAATAATAATAATAATAATAATAATAATAATAATAATAATAGGCGTGCAGTGGTGGTGGTAGTGTGGTCTTGTAGTGGTGGTGGTGATGGTGTTGGTGTTGGTGGTGGTAGCGGTGGTGATATGGTGTTGGTGTAGTAGAAGTTGGAAAATGTCTTCCCAAATAAAAGGAAGTCATTTTCCTCCAAAACAAGCATATTTCCCAAACACATCCTTAATTCCGTTAATGAGACTATATGTGCAATCATTATTGTGTGGACCATGGTCCACACAAGTTGTGTGGGCCATATTTTGTATACTGTAAAATAATGTACCTTCAGTACACAAATAATGTACATTTAGTACAAATATAATGTACATTGTATTTAGGGGATGTAAATAATTTTTTTTACTGAGTATACATTATATTGTATAATTCTTTAGAAACAACTTGAAAATCAAGTCAGAAGATTTAATTCTTGTAAGAGAGACGTTGGTGATCAAAAAAGAAGAAGACATTATTTTTTAGAAACAACTTGAAATCAAGTTTGATAAAAAATATTATCTTGTCAGACACAAGTTGGCAATCAATCAAAATGATGATATCATATTGTCAACAATATTAGGCTACGAGATTCAAAATTCAAATACCAAATTATCCTGCTGCAACGGATACATTTGATCATCTATAAAAAGCCATGAAGACATGAAGATCAACATGAATGAACAACTTGCAAAGAGAAATATAC